AACTGCCAGTGGGCCGCCTGCAGCAGCTGCTTCGCCTGGTCGGCCGCACAGCCGGCCGTCAGCACGAACTGATTGATCATGACCTGGTGCTTAAGCTCATCCATGTTCACGGACATGGCGCCACCGCCGCCGCGCTGCCCGCTCCTCCGCTTCACGCGTCCACCATTAGCGAGCCGGCTCCGGCTAATACAAATATTTACTGTGCGGCTCTGACTCACCGAGCCTCGCCTGGCTCCGGGGCTGCGGGGGGCATGCTGGGAGATGTAGTCCGCCCGCGCCCGCCCGCGCTGCATCGGGGGCTGGGGGCCGAACTGTCCGACGCTGGACACCTACTGTGTGCAGAAGCGGGCCGTGACGAGAGCTGGGCATCCGCGCCCCTGCCCTGGCACTAACGGGGGTCGGCAGGCGGAGGCCACAGAGGTCTCTGTCAAGACCCTGGCGAGCCGGGATGTGGTTGGCATCCCTCTGGTGAGTGGGTGCACCCTTTGAGGGAGAGGGTCCTAGCAGTTTTGGCACAAATCAGCAGCACTAAGCCGCGAGGCCCCAGAGAGCTGGCAAATAGTAGGCGCCTATATTCGTTCAGAGAATAAATAAATTTGCCCTTTAAAACTCTGCTCAAAATCACCGCCTCCAGGAAGCCTTCCAAGTCTCCCCAACACCCCGAGCGCATCGCGCACTTGGGAAGCGGGTCCCTCCCTGGCCTGGCGCTCGGTCAGGTACACAGTAGGCCCGAGCAACTTCTGGGGTTAGGTAGGAATGGCACCCTGATGGGCAGGCGAGGCTGGCAGTCTTTGTTGCCTCGGGGTTCCTTCCCTGCGACGCTCCCACTTTCCCACGCAAAATCTGGTGCTCTTTGCCGGAAATCTCGCCCTAACCTGCAGGCGCCAGGACCGCGCGGAGCCAGTTCCGTAAAAGGCCCCGAACTCCTATACCCAAAATGCTCCAGTTTATTTGCAACATACGGTCCCGAGTGACGTCAAGTGAGTGAGGCTCCGTCTCTGCCAATGGGCGACCGCAGGGTGTTAGGACCTGGCCATATAAGGTAAACAAAGCTGACCGCCCAATGCGGTGGCGTTTGGGGCGGGCCCTGAGGCTGAGCGGACCTATGTGTCACGTGGCGGGCGGGGGCGGGGCTGAAGAGCGCTGGGGTGGGGCCCTGCGAGAAGTGTTTACAGCCCTGCACGCGCCGCTTCCGGTTGACCTCTGGGTTCTACCATCCCGGGTCCTGGGTTGGGCCAGGGGGGTGGCAAGCTCGGAACCGAGCCCGGGACCGGGAGTCGAGAAGCCCCCGGAGGAGGAGTGGCTCGGTCACCGCTCTGAATGACCTTGCCCCGGTTCCTCGCTTCCTAGGCCAGTTTCACTTGCTGGGCCCTGACTCTGTCCCGGGTTCCGACGTGACCCGGGTACAGAGAGAGAGCAAACCCAAAAGGGTTCCGCTGGTGGCGGGGCTGGGGTGGGGGCGAGTGTCAGAAACCCCAAGGACAAATGAATTGCAAGTGTGGGAAGTGCTCTCAGGAAACATACAAGTGGTGGGTTAAAGGCCACTGAAGGGTTAATAGAGCTGATCCGTTATCCACATTAGAATCACTGGCTGTGGGGACCAGATGGTGACAGAGGGATCCAGTGGGCTCGGGGGATTGTCTGGATGTCTGTGGTTCTGGAGCCCGCCCCTGCCCGGGGCCTAGTCCTCAGAATTGGATTGAAATGAGGGGAGGGACTGTCTCACACTGGGGCGGGTGCCCTCCCCTCCCCCAGAGGGGGGGAGTAGAGACTTGCAGTGCTTTCTCTGCGGTGCTTTTCCTGGATCCCTCAACCCTTCCAGAGGTTGACTTTGGCGAGTGGGAGGAGGATGGGGAGTTGTGAGGGACAGGAGAAGCTGGTATATGTGGAGGAGGGATTCGAGCCCTGCTAGAGTGGGGAGCTTGATCCACTGGCTGAAAGAGTCCCCTTCCAGTGGGTGCTTCAGCCCTGGCTGAAGTCACCTGTCCACTGGCCTTTCTTCTGCCTTATAGAGATCATTCAGTCTCCACCATTTTTTCCAAACCCTGGTGGTGCCAGGAAATCTCTGCTCTTATTAAGAATGGCCTGCCCTAACCGGTTTGGCTAGGTGGATAGAGCCTGTGGACTGAAAGATCCCAGGTTCGATTCCAGTCAAGGGCATGTACCTTGGTTGCGGGCACATCCCCAGTAGGAGGTGTGCAGGAGGCAGCTGATAGATGTTTCTTATTCATCGATGTTTCTAATTCTCTATCCCTCTCTCTTCCTCTCTGTAAAAAATCAATAAAAATGTATTTTTAAAAAAATGGCCTGCCCTAGCCGGTTTGGTTCAGTGGGTAGATGTGGGCCCACGGACTGACTGAAGGGTCCTGGGTTTGATTCTGGTAAAGGACACATGCCTTGGTTGCGGGCTCCCAGGCCCTGGTCAGGGTGCCAACCAATCGATGTGTTTCTCTCACATCATTGTTTCTCTCTGTCTCTCCCTCTCCCTTCCACTGTCTCTAAAAATCAATGGAAAAATATTCTCAGGTGAGGACTAACAACAACAAAAAGAATTGCTCCTCGAGCCAGTGTCTCTCAGTGGCTGAGTGTCAACCATGAAGCAAGAGTTGACTGTCTCCATTTCCAGTAGAGGGCCTGCAGTCGATGTCTAGCATCATAAACATGAATTAATGTGGGCAAAGTACCCGGCACAGGATAGGCAGCTCTGAGTATAGGTACTGTTACCACTGGGCCAGCAACAGGGCATGGTGGAAGGTGAACAAGTTCCGGAGCCAGACAAACCTAGTTGCCAGTCCTGACACTGCCACTTAATGACTCTGATGTTGGGCAAGTTCAGTTTCCTCATTTGTAGAACTGAAGGTGAGTGCCAGGAGCTCTCCCAGGACTGCTATGGAGTAATGCCAGGGAGGAGCTCAACATGGGCCTGGCATTCAGCAAACCATTTCTAGTACTCACCTCTTTGCCTCTGGCTAGTGAGTCCAAGCCCATTTTACAGATAAGGAATCTGAGGCTGGAATCCAGGACTTCTGACACTTTTTCCAGTGTTCAGGGCCCTTGAAGAAGAGCAGGCATGCAGTGAGCCAGCAGGATGTGTTTCTGGTAAGGAAGGGTGAGTGTTGGCAGGGCCTACTGGGGGCTTTTCTTGCTGAGGGAAGCAGGAAGTACCTTCCCCCACCCTCATCCAGGCACCACTCAGGTACCTGCACAGGCTTGTCCAGCCCAGACTGGGGTGGGGTAGGTGGGGCTGGCAAGAGCAAAGGTCACCTCTCAGGCCCCCACAGTCCTCCAGCTGGCTTGTTTTCCAGGAGCAGCAGAGAAGTAAAAAACCTTGTTTTCAGCCAGGATCAGCCTGGCTAGAAAGTGGACTTTGGCTTTTTTAGCAGGCTCAGATGGGGCCTGCCAGCTGAAGCTAGTAGATGGGGGATGAGAAAGTAAAATGCATTTCAGGCAGTGCCCTCATCTTTTCTGAGGTCCAGAGAGGTGAGGACCTTGCCACAGTTGGCATAGCCAGTTCACAGAGGTGCAGGGTCCCAGCCTTCTCAGCATCCCTTGGCCTCCTCCTCCCCACCTCCATTCTTTCGAACCCTCCACAGATGTGTTTATCAGACATAGTACACTGGGTGCTTGGCTCTGGGAGCACAAGGATGAGTAGTTGAGGATCCTGCCCTCTAAAAGAGGCTTGAGAAGAAGTGTAGACTTGAGGGACTCACCCCTGGAGGCCATGAACTGTGCCTAGGGCCTGTGTGTGTGTGTGTGTGTGTGTGTGTGTGTGTGAATCCTCACCCGAGGATATTTTTCCATTGATTTTTTTTTTTAGAAAGAGTGGAAGGGAAGGGGAGAGACAGAGTGAGAGAAACATTGATGTGAGAGAGACACATTGATTGGCTGCCTCCTGCACTTGCCCTGATTAGGGCCAGGGATTGAGCCTGCAACCAAGGTATATGCTCTTGACCAGAATAGAATCCAGGACCCTTCAGTCTGTGGGCCAAAGCTCTAGCCACTGAGCCAAACCCTCTCCCTCTCCCTTCCTCTCTGAAATAAAAAAATATATTTAAAAAAAAGGAATGCATAAATAAGTGGAACAACAAATCAATGTTTTTTTCTGTTTCATATGACCCAATGCTGGCTGGCTGGTCTCTGTTCCCATACTCTTCCCTTTACTTGATTCTAGCCACACTGGCCTTTGAGCTCATGGATCATAATCAGTTCGGTGCTGCCTCAGAGTCTTTGTCCATGCTGTTCCCCCTGCCTGGAACCTGGCTTAATCCCCTCAGAGTTTGCCTGGTTAGCTCTTACTTATATTTCAAGTCCAGGCTTAAATGAGATGCCTTCCCTCACTCCCCTATCAATAGAAGGTCTCTCCTATTATTGCATCTCAATCCATTCCCCCATAGTACCCACCACATCTTGTATTTATATACTTCTTAATAAAGTTTTTAAAATTAACTTTAGAGACAGAGAGAAGGGAGAAACATTGATTTGTTGTTCCACTTATTTATGCATTCTTTTTTTAAATATATTTTTTATTTCAGAGAGGAAGGGAGAGGGAGAGAGAGAGAGAAACATCAATGATGAGAGAGAATCATTGATCAGCTGCCTCCTGCACACCCACTACTGGGCATCGAGCCTGAAACCTGGGCATGTGCCCTTGACCGGAATCAAACCTGGGACCCTTCAGTCCACAGGCCAATGCTCTATCCATTAAGGCAAACTGGCTAGGGCCATTGGTTGATTCTTATATATGCCCTAACCAGGGATTGAACCCACAACCTTGGCATATCAGGATGACACTCTAACCAACAAATGCCAGGGCCTTTAACATTTTTAGTGTTTGTTTCCTCACTATCCTCCAAGCTCCATATCTGGTGGTTTCTCCCTTTGATCCCTATTGCCTCTCTCTTTGCCTGTTACATAGTAGCTGCATGATAAATATTTGTTAAATAAATAAGTGAATCAGTCAAGATGTTGGTAGTGGAACTAATATCAAATCAGAAAGGGACTGCCAAAAAAAAGAAAAGAAAAAGGGGAATATAATGAACAACATAAACTGATGAACAAAAACAGAACCAGAGTCATAGAAACATCGAACA